CCGTTGTGGAGCACAGGCTCCGGACGCGCAGGCTCAGCGGCCATGGCTCACGGGCCCAGCCGCTCCGCGGCATGTGGGATCTTCCAGGACCGGGGCACGAACCTGTGTCCCCTGCATCGGCAGGCAGACTCTCATCAACTGCGCCACCAGGGAAGCCCTGGGGAGATTCTTAAGAGGTGCATCAGGACTTAGAGATGAGCGTGGTGCGTACATGCATCTGTACACACGTGGTGGGCTGTGGGACCAGGCCAGGGCATGACAGGTGAGGGTGGCCCCGCTAGAGGACTTGCCTCTTCCTTTCCCCTTCCTTGGGCCCCAAATCTTAGCCCAGAGGGAGACCTGGCTCTCTCACCTTTGACCTGTGGCCTTCCTCCCCAGCTATTCCTTCTCACCATCTCCATCTTCCTGGGGCTGGGCCAGCCGAGGAACCCCAAAGGCAAGAGGAAGGGGCAAGGGCGGCCTGGGACCCTGGCCCCTGGGCCTCAGCAGGTGCCGCTGGACCTCGTGTCCCAGGCAAAGCCATATGCCCGCATGGAGGAATATGAGAGGAACCTGGGGGAGATGGTGGCCCAGCTGAGGAACAGCTCCGAACCGGCCAGGAGGAAGTGTGAGGTCAACCTGCAGCTGTGGCTGTCCAACAAGAGGAGCCTGTCGCCCTGGGGCTACAGGTAGGCCAGGCTGGGCAGCAGTGGGTAAGCTGTGTGTTGGGGGCTGGAGGGGATGCCTTGCCCACTCTCCTTGTCATTGTAAGGGCTAAGACCTTGGATTTGGAGGCCTGGGTTTGCAACCTGGCTCTGCCTTTTACTGGCTGTGTGGCTTTGGGCAAGTTGCTTAGCATCTCTGAGCCTCAGATTCCTCAACTATAAGTGGAGGTGATAATAATATCTGCTTCATAGGCTTGTTATTAAATGAGATATCCATGCAGGGCACTGCCGTTGTGTTCTCCAAGTCTCCAGTGAAGGGCCTGCAAGGCCTTCCCCAAATGTCACGTCCTCCAGCTCCGAGTGCCTTGTAGACACCTCTAGTTACAGCACTTCCAGGCAGTACTGAGTTGGCTGTGTGCACATCTGTCTCTCACGCTAGACTGGGACCATCCCAGTGCCTGCATCAGAATCATCTAAGGATTCTCATGCCCCATTCAATCAAAATCTCCAGGGAAGAGGCCCAGCAAGTGGCATTATCTACATCTCCACATGGTTAGGATACACAGCTGGGCTTGGGAATCAAGACCTGCTGCCCCTAGGGGACAGGAGTGGTGTCTTAACTTGGTTGTAGCTCCACTTCCCAGCACACCACCTGGGCACACAGAAGGGGCCATGTGTATATGTGGAGAATAAATAATGAAGAAAAGGACTGACCCTGAAGGGTCCTCACTCATGAACCCAGGCCACAGATTTTTAGCCACACACCTTATGTCCTCAGACTCTAGAAGAGCATGTTCGACAGAGTTTTCTGTGACAGTGTAAAGTCCAATGTGGTAGCCACTAGCCTCACGTGACTACTAAGCACTTGGAATGTGGCTAGTGTGACTGGGGAGCTAATTTTGATTATTTTAAGCTCAAACAGCCACATGTCGCTAGTGGCTCCCATACCTGGAATGTGGCAACTGGAAGGGTCCATGAAGATCCTCCGAAGCTGGGCATCTTCTTCACTGTGCTCATGACTTTCCTGGGGATCTTAAGAGTATGCAGGTTCTGATTCAGGAGGTCTGGGGTAGGGAGGGATTCTGCATTTCTGACAAGCTCCCAGGTTATGCTGACGCTGCAGATCCGCAAGCCCACTGCCTTTCCTCCAGCACGGCATGGTCTTGCTGTGCAATCAAAACCTGGGTTATGAAAGGCAGGGGCATCGGGGGTGGGCACCAATTTGTCTTTACCACAACCTTCCTTCTACCCTGTGCTCTCTCCTGCCTTCCCGCAGAATCAACCATGACCCTAGCCGCATTCCTG